CTGGCAACAGCTTGTTTGGAGGGTGGGGAGTATGGCATTGTATCTGTCTGAGGTCCTCCTCTTTCTCTTCCTCCTCCTCCTCCTCAGACCCCACCCTCAGCAGGCTTCATTCCTAAACTATCCTGGAAGTTTCCAACCTGGAGTTGGCAAGCCTATGTCCTTTCCAGGCACCCATCAGTCTAACCTTTATCTGCCTGTCTGTCTTCAAGTTTACTTCCCCCCCCCCCCCCAGCCTCTGCCTAGGGAAAGCAGCTGTCATCATTCTCCTCTCCCCCTATGAGGTATGTTAAGGTTGAAAGTGTGTGAATGGTCCATAATCCCCCAGGCAGCTCTTAAAACATGTTCCTGGGACCTACACACCACCAGACATTCCAACTGCCTTGCGGGGGGGGGAGTATGAGGTGTGGAATGGAGTGAAGTCCAATCAGCTTCCATATGCAAAAGACCTTGAAACGCTGGGCGGGACTGCACAAAGCAGCCAGTCAACCCAGCCAGCGTCTTCTGACTGACAGTTCAAGCGTCCATACACTAAAGGGGCCAAATTTAGAATGTTCATATCCACTATTCAATTATATATAAGGAGAGATTGAGTAAGAACATTCTATATTGAACATTCTAAATTTGGCCCCTTTAGTGTATGGACGCTTGAACTGTCAGTCAGAAGACGCTGGCTGGGTTGACTGGCTGCTTTGTGCAGTCCCGCCCAGCTTTTATACACTGTGAGTGCTGTGCTAAGGATTTTTCCTCCTACATACACCAATTTAAAGTCTTCTGTACATTATGAGTACTTTATGAAGGTAATTTTGCCTCAGTATTCAGGATCTGGGTTTGATTGTAGTATACGATATTAATAGTGTAGTAGTGTGAACTTCTTGAAGAAAAGCTATTGAAACGAAGATCACAATCTGGAGTCTTCGTCCTTCTCTGTGTACCATTTATGGACTTGCACTGTTCATGGACCTGTACATTATATGATGTAATTTGGTTTTACTGATACATGTGGTCCTCTGTTATTCTTGTCATATAAATTTACTCTTTTTGCATGACTTTTTGAGCACTTGTGGTCTGCGTTATTTGTACAGTGCTTGCTTGCCACTGGACTTCTCACATGTAAAAAGGTAAAGGTTCCCTTGCTCGAAAGCCAGTCAAATCCGACTCTAGGGTTGCAGTGCTCATCTCCGTTTCAAAGCCGAAGAGCCAGCGCTGTCCGAAGACATTTCCGTGGTAATGTGGCCGGCATGACTAAACACCAAGGCGCAGGGAACGCTGTTACCTTCCCACCGAAGTGGTACCTATTTATCTACTTGCAATTTCTTGCTTTCGAACTGCTAGATTGGCAGGAGCTGGAACTAGAGACAGGAGCTCACTCCATCACACGGCACACTCGGGTCTCGAACTGCTGAACTACTGCCCTTCCACAGCCTGCAGTTCAGTGTCTTATAACCACTTGAGCCACCGCAGCTCTCATATGTAGGCCAATTTAATTTCACAGCCGTGACTCTTCTTCAGCGATCGAGAAGATTAGCCATGTTGGGTAATAGTTACTTAATATCAAGGCATCGACTGGCCCTGTACCACAAAGCAGCTACCGCATAAGGGCAAAGCTGCCCAACAAAGTGCTCAGGATTAATTTGGGGGTGGTGGTGGTGGGGAATGAGGTGAGCCAATCAGGAGCATGCCTCAGATGTGATCAAGGACATCTGATCCACCTAAGTTCACCTGGTGATCGCGCTCTTGTCGAAATCCTCAGCATGCCAAAAAGCCGTTTGCGTCAGGGAAAGTGTCTGTTCAGCTATGGAACAGCCTCTAAGCAGATGTGCGCCTGACGCATCCGTCGGCGTACTGAGCTCAAAAGCTTGCGTTCTCATTGATCGCACGTACTGAGCTCAAAAGCTTGCGTTCTCATTGATCGCACCGAGACCGGCATCA